GGGGGTGAGAAAAGTATGCGGGTTCAACATCTACAGAATATCACGAGTTCGATCACCTCTAAGATCACGGGGTATCGAAAGTCCACGTTTGCTAAATTCGGGGATTAGATCTTTGAGTCTTTGCTTAAGGCGTTCGTAGTAACGTATTCTACCAATGGACTCTTGGGCAGACTTCCAATCTTCTTTCTCGGTAAATTTGGAGATGTTGTCTAGTTCATCATCCCATTGAGTAGCTATGCTCTGATGGATATCGTCGATACGGCACTGAATCTTATCACTTGGGGTGTCTTGTTTGATCCAGTCTACCAGTTCGTCTACTTGTTCGTTCATCTCTAGGATCTCATTAAGAAAAAGTGGATCAGTTATGGGTACGTCCTTAGAGGAACATTCATTCCCATTAAGGGTCAAAATATACTCTGCCCGGGAAATGGGATCAGATAGAACTTTGTAAGCGTCATTAATAAAGGAGGTTGTAAGTTTGGAAATGCGCATCTCCTCGGCAGAAGAACGGACGAATTTGTCTGGGTGAAAGGACTGAAGGAGGGTTCGCTTCTGTCGAGCCAGTTCGCGCAAATTGATGTCCATTTTTGGCAAAAAGTTGAAGAGTTCAAAATAGTTAACATGAGGAGAAACAGACTGGATTTTGCCACATTCACAGATGAATGTCTTGCAGTTTATACGTTTAAGGCAACTCCAACAATCACGCTCAATGTGGGCGAGGTTCTTTGTATTTGAAGCAAAGAAACGAGAAACTGGAGATAAATTGGGAATCAGATAGTTGCAAACCATGTTAAAGGCTTTCATCCTGCTAAGCTAGAATAAAAAATTGATGATTTAAGTAAGTCAATAGGACATCCCATTTTGGAGTTAGTAATCTAAACAGCAGAAACTAAAAATGAGAGACCAACATTAAATCTTACAAGACAGTGCCTTGAGATTACCGCGCTTAATTAAAAAAATATAGTTTCAAAGTAAACCGAACGCTATAAAAACCAATATCTTCCAACGTAAGTAGAAAACTGAATAAGGTTTCAACAGGAATCTATAAAGTGATGTTTAAAAAACAGATATTCAGTTAAATGGAAAGAAGTTAACTCGAAGTATCTGAAAGGCATTGACCCAAATAGAAATGAATATTGAAAAAAATAAAGGAAATCGTTAACGAAAATTATCGACAAGGCAATTAGTTAAAATGAACTAAAATAGGATGTCTAGAAGACAGAAGCTATGAGAAAAGGAAGGTTTAACAACTCATTAAACATTAGAATTCGAATAAAGGGGAAATTAAGTTAGAACATATTCAATGGCCACGGGGCTTAGAAGCAACAGCATAGTCAAACCAATCAGACATACCCGTCACATTAACAGTGCAATAATGTGCCAAAACTTGAGATGCAAACAAAATTAGGTGAATTCTATGAATGCCCGGATCGGCATATTTAAAATGATTTAATTTAAATTAAAGTTAATAATAATTATTAAAGCACGTAGTTGCAATTTTAGTATTTAAATGACAATTCAAGGCTATTTATGTTTGCAGTCTATTCGAAAAGTCTTGTAATAATCTTATTTATAATGAATAAAAGCAAACCACCATTCAAGTCTATGCATTATAATTGCTGATTATACTAAAATAATCTTTTATAATGTTATGAAATTTCGCTTTATTTGAAATCCTCTTTTGCTTATTATGAGATCATGAATTCCAATGAAAATATATTAATTGCCGAACCCATTGACCTTTTGTACGAACAAAGATTGACTTCAGAATCAGATGAGATTGATATATATTTGGGAACGCTTTCCTCTGGTATAACACGGTGTCTGGATGAGTTGCTTGCCAAAAATGAAATTAGACCTCTTGAAGCATCTGATCTTAGGCAGAAATGCCTTTTTATTGTTAATCTAACAAAACGGTATTTATTAAATTTATTTAATTTTAAAAGAACTCAGAAAAATTGCCTAAAGCTGGAAAATACGTTTGTTGAACTTTCAAAATCAATCAAACGAATTAACAGTGCTAATCGAAAAAGGGATGAATTCCCAGATGGATTTGAGACCGAGCCCCACAATATTCGAAAGCAAATCCTTCGTGCTGAGAATGAAGTTGAGGAAATTAATCTCAACGTAGAGTCTTTTGAATACCAAATTCGACTTTTACAAGATGAACAGAGAATACTTTCTAAGGAAGCCTCTAAATATCCAGACGAAGAGGTGATAAATTGCTTAAAATTTTTTCTTCCTTTTTTAATAAATTTAATTGGTTATGTTTCCTAGTTTTTTGCTTTAGTTTACAAGCCTTTTGTTCGCAGGCACAGCTTTTGAGTCGAGATAACAAGAGTTTCTAGCACATACCAATCACAAGAATTAAAATGAATGGAGTAAATATAAGGGAGCTTTTGTTGATCAAGAGATAGCAAGTGAATCCCATAGTGATTACATAGAAGTGGTATAGACTTGACTTGCAATTTCACTTCCCACACCTCCCTTTCAAGAGTGTTAACCCGTTTGAATAACTACAGCTTAGAGTATCTCATTGGGTGTCTAAACCAATTTGTCATATCTAATTTTTCTGCTAATCCAGATGTTCGAGATTTATTTCCTGAGCCACAGATCTGTAGCGGATTGCTACGCTAGTAAAGCCTGACCTACTCAGAAATCTCTATGGCAGATTCTCCTACATCTAGCTAGACTCCCAGAACCAGCTAAGCTATAGCCCAGCTATCAAGGCAACAGACGCGTAGCACGGTGCACGTTTATTCAGTACGTATATTGCGGATCAAGTGTGTACACGCAGGGATCTACTCATGATTAGGATGGGGGATTAGGTTAAACAAACAGAGGTTGATGATTGGTCACCATTTGTACAGTCGCTGCACACAGAGTTGTACGGCGCACCTCCCAATCCTGGCGAGCAGACATGCAGGCGTACGATGACGCACACAGCGATAACGTGTCCCACAGATCTATAATTTTCAAAGTTTGTGGACCAGTTGGTTTAACTGACTGGTCGACCAAGCTGATTGGAATCATTA